CTTATGTAATTTATGGCCCTTTAATTAATTTATGGTCCAGCAAGGAGAACAAAGGGGAAACCAGTACCACTGCTCTCCCCTCAACATTTTTCACCCCCATGTCATGTTATGTAATGTATAGCACACATGGCTTATCAGGGGAAAGCATTAAGGCAGATTAGTTAGTACCACCCCTTTTTACATACAAGAATGTTAACTCTGGACAGCTACACACTAGTATACTAGCTACTAGGCATACTAATGTGCCTACTGTAAACTACTAGACTTTAGGCCCTATGTACACCTGCAATTGTATCAATTGTAGACTGGGCCCATTGGGGCCTAGTAATAGCTAGTATCAGTTAAAGTGTGTGTACACAGCATTAACTAATTTGGGATAGAAATTAATTATTTTTATTGCGGAGTTAGTCTAAACTAGGAGAAAATACTTATTGCCCCATTGCCCCTCTCCTTATACCCCAAATGCTGATTTTGGGGTATGACAATAAATGTTCAATTAAACCCATTTAAAGTATATTTAATAGACTTTGTTATTATTTTTATATTGTGTAAGATATGTTAGAATAATTTTGCCATATTTTAAATACTAAAAAATTCTTAGATTAGTAGAAATCTTTAAAAATGTACAGGTGCTAAAAAGTGTGGCTCCAACGCCCTCCTTTACCCTACATATTTATATTAAGAGAGTGATTATCTCCCCTGTTTCACTTGTCTTAAATAATTTCCCAGGAATTATAATGTAAGAAAAGTTTTTTTACAAGAATTACAAAACAGATTGTGTTACGTTCATTGTCTTTGGTTGTAGTGTGTGTATATTTTGGTTGTTTTTTTGTTTAGATTGATACAATTTTTGTTTTGTCGGCCTACATTGTGTGTTTTTTCTTATTTCTTCAGAGTGCTACTTTCACTTTATTTTACATCATAGCGAAGTAATGACATACAGCTAGTAATTATATATATATATATATATATATATATATATATATATATATATAAACTACACTTATAGAGAACGTGTTAAAAATTTGGCGCCTTTTTTTGCTCTTTTCGCTCCCCCTACAACGAAAACCTAGATACGCCTCTGACTATAGGGTAGTAGCTACTGGGTCATCGTACACATCTCTACTAAAGTCTACTTTAGGGGCACAAAAAGCGCATTTTTACGGACTTGTATATTATGAGTTATGGGCCTTTAAAAATCATTAATAAATCTTCGATGAACGAAATAAGTATAAAACTGTTTTAACTGATTCGCCTGAATCTACATATTATATTATATTTGTTTTTAAGTTATAGTCAATATAATCTTCGTCACACTTAATACCCAACCCCCACCCCAACCAACAAAGCTGAGTATCACACATGTTAAAACTTTCACACTTAAGCAAATGACATTACTTATGGACAACAGCATTGTTTAGATTAGCGCTTGTTGAGCTAGAGAACTGGACCTTTTTTTCTAGAGTTCAAGCAGATCCGACACTTTAAAAAAATAAAACTTCATTATAAAATTTAAATAAATGAGCTTGTTCGTGTCTAATGAGCCGGACCTGAGCTTGTTCGTGTCTAATGATCCGGACCTGAGCTTGTTCGTGTCTAAAGGGCCGGACCTGAGCTTGTTTGTGTAAGGAGCCGGACCTGAGCTTGTTTGTGTCTAATGAGCCGGACCTGAGCTTGTTCGTGTAAGGAGCCGGACCTGAGCTTGTTCGTGTCTAATGAGCCGGACCTGAGCTTGTTCGTGTAAGGAGCCGGACCTGAGCTTGTTCGTGTCTAATGAGCCGGACCTGAGCTTGTTCGTGTCTAATGAGCCGGACCTGAGCTTGTTTGTGTCTAATGAGCCGGACCTGAGCTTGTTTGTGTAAGGAGCCGGACCTGAGCTTGTTTGTGTCTAATGAGCCGGACCTGAGCTTGTTCGTGTAAGGAGCCGGACCTGAGCTTGTTCGTGTAAGGAGCCGGACCTGAGCTTGTTCGTGTCTAATGAGCCGGACCTGAGCTTGTTTGTGTCTAATGAGCCGGACCTGAGCTTGTTTGTGTCTAATGAGCCGGACCTGAGCTTGTTCGTGTAAGGAGCCGGACCTGAGCTTGTTTGTGTCTAAAGGGCCGGACCTGAGCTTGTTCGTGTCTAATGAGCCGGACCTGAGCTTGTTCGTGTAAGGAGCCGGACCTGAGCTTGTTCGTGTCTAATGAGCCGGACCTGAGCTTGTTTGTGTCTAATGAGCCGGACCTGAGCTTGTTTGTGTCTAATGAGCCGGACCTGAGCTTGTTCGTGTCTAATGAGCCGGACCTGAGCTTGTTTGTGTCTAATGAGCCGGACCTGAGCTTGTTTGTGTCTAATGAGCCGGACCTGAGCTTGTTCGTGTAAGGAGCCGGACCTGAGCTTGTTCGTGTCTAATGAGCCCGACCTGAGCTTGTTCGTGTAAGGAGCCGGACCTGAGCTTGTTCGTGTCTAATGAGCCGGACCTGAGCTTGTTCGTGTCTAATGAGCCGGACCTGAGCTTGTTTGTGTCTAATGAGCCGGACCTGAGCTTGTTTGTGTAAGGAGCCGGACCTGAGCTTGTTCGTGTCTAATGAGCCGGACCTGAGCTTGTTCGTGTCTAATGAGCCGGACCTGAGCTTGTTTGTGTCTAATGAGCCGGACCTGAGCTTGTTTGTGTAAGGAGCCGGACCTGAGCTTGTTCGTGTCTAATGAGCCGGACCTGAGCTTGTTCGTGTCTAATGAGCCGGACCTGAGCTTGTTTGTGTCTAATGAGCCGGACCTGAGCTTGTTTGTGTCTAATGAGCCGGACCTGAGCTTGTTCGTGTAAGGAGCCGGACCTGAGCTTGTTTGTGTCTAAAGGGCCGGACCTGAGCTTGTTCGTGTCTAAAGGGCCGGACCTGAGCTTGTTCGTGTCTAATGAGCCGGACCTGAGCTTGTTCGTGTAAGGAGCCGGACCTGAGCTTGTTCGTGTCTAATGAGCCGGTCCTGAGCTTGTTTGTGTCTAAAGGGCCGGAGCTGAGCTTGTTCGTGTCTAAAGGGCCGGACCTGAGCTTGTTCGTGTCTAATGAGCCGGACCTGAGCTTGTTCGCGTAAGGAGCCGGACCTGAGCTTGTTCGTGTCTAATGAGCCGGACCTGAGCTTGTTTGTGTCTAATGAGCCGGACCTGAGCTTGTTTGTGTCTAATGAGCCGGACCTGAGCTTGTTCGTGTAAGGAGCCGGACCTGAGCTTGTTTGTGTCTAAAGGGCCGGACCTGAGCTTGTTCGTGTCTAATGAGCCGGACCTGAGCTTGTTTGTGTAATGAGCCGGACCTGTGCTTGTTCGTGTAAGGAGCCGGACCTGAGCTTGTTCGTGTCTAATGTGCCGGACCTGAGCTTGTTCGTGTCTAATGAGCCGGACCTGAGCTTGTTCGTGTCTAATGAGCCGGACCTGAGCTTGTTCGTGTCTAATGAGCCGGACCTGAGCTTGTTCGTGTCTAATGAGCCGGACCTGAGCTTGTTCGTGTAAGGAGCCGGACCTGAGCTTGTTTGTGTCTAAAGGGCCGGACCTGAGCTTGTTCGTGTCTAAAGGGCCGGACCTGAGCTTGTTCGTGTCTAATGAGCCGGACCTGAGCTTGTTCGTGTCTAATGAGCCGGACCTGAGCTTGTTTGTGTAAGGAGCCACACGTTTGTCCGAATGCAACAAACACTAAAGCCACATGCCCGCATGTTATATGTAATTATATTATACTTATCATTCCTGTAGATTACCCTAGATCAGTGGTTCTTAACCTGGATTCGATCGAACCCCAGGGGTTTAGTGAGTCTGTCTCAGGGGTTTAAGGTATTTCAAGATCAGATGCGTAGCGAGGGCGGGGCGGGTGGTGCGGACCTCACCGGGTGACACTATTAAGGGGGGTGACACCAAGGCAAAAATACATTTACACATACATGTACGCGTATGCGACATATATTTAAATTATAGGCCTATGTAGATCGACACAAACGAACACACACACACACACACACACACACACACACACACACACACACACACACACACATATATATATATATATATATATATATATATATATATATATATATATATATATATATATATACTTTTTTCTTTTGGGGTGGGGGTGGAGGGTGATACCCGACCCAGCGACGCCACTGATCAAAATACACACCCGGCTCTTAGATTCACAATCAAATATAACTATTAAGAAGGGTTCAGTGAATGCGCAAATAAACCTCGCGGAGTTCGGTACCTCCAAACAGTTTAAGAACCACTGCTCTATATTGATCATTCTACCAGGATGTAGCACGGCTGAACAGACAATAGAGAAGTGTAGCCACATTTTTACTTGTTATATTTCGTCATTATATCAAAGAATGTAAAACATTAACATTTACGTTTTGTTAAATAACAGAACTGATGTATGTAACCATGAACTTCATATTTTCGGCAGTTGTCTTTTCTTTCTAGGCGACGGAGTGGTCTAGCGGTAGAGAGCTGGACTGATAACCCGTAAGTCTCGAATTCGAATCCGGATTCACGTCAGTAGTTCGCGATTATTATATCACATTTCAATTATTCTTAATATATATATATATATATATATATATATATATATATATGTATATATATATATATATATATATATATATATATATATATATATATATATATATATATATATATACATATACATATATATATATATATATATATGTATATATATATATATATATATATATATATATATATATATATATATATATATATATATATATATATATATATATATATATTAGATTTGAAAAGAGTTTTAACCAATCAAAAGTACATTAGATGTGAGTCCTTACAAATTGGTAATCCCTTGATGCTGCCCACAACTCCGCTGCTTGTTAATTAGATCGTGTGTCGTTAATATTTTAATATCTATATCAGAAGAGGAATAAAGTAAGATTAGTTGAAAACAAATTAGTTGCTTGCAATATTACGATATCCCTATCAATACAAGCATACCTTGAGATCAGCGGAAAACAAAGCTTTACGTTTCTATAATTAGATACAGACCTTTCATACGTAGACGGAACTGACATTTTAGATTTCTAGTTTCTCAGTTCATATCTACATGTAAGTCGAGAATACAGTTTTGATTTTAAACATACAATTTTTAAAACTGTTTCATTTTTCAAGGTTTAAGAAAATGAGCAAATTCAAATTAATTTCCCTAATAATTATAATATTTCGACCTAACTATTTATTAAAAATTAGAAATCATAATTAAAATGTATTTTAAAATAAAATCGCAATGCGCATATAATCTTAATTATCCTTTTTCTATAAATAATGATACATCTTTTAAACAAAATTTAACTTTTTCCCCATAGCCGAAATAAAATCTTCTTTTGTGAACTTGCAATCTTCAGTTTTTGTTATTTATTCGAATTTCTTTTATAACATTTAGGTAAAAGTTTCGCTAGTGGTAAGTTAAAACATACTATTCATTTGTGCTGTTAGTAAAAAAAAAGTAAAGTTCCCTTTTCAAACCTGACGGTCTATAGGGCAAGTGAAGTAGAGTTCACTTGTTTCGGCATATGAAGATATAGTGTGGCCAGCACTATGCCCAGCAGCCTTTACTTTCCCGAACGTGAGTTAGGTACCCATCAGAGCTGGGTGGACTCAGGGACGGTCTACTGACTTGAACCCGGCTTCGAACTCAAGACTTACCAGTTAGAAGTCCAGCTGTGCTGTTAGTACGTGCACTTTCTTCTAAGTATGAAACTAAAAAATAAGGACCCTTGGATAATCGCGCCTTGGAAAACAAGGAGCAAAGTCTAAGCAGCATGTCGAGCCTGGTGTTGCCTATGTATCAGACATCCTCTCTCAACCTGCTGATGGACCCAAAGGAGCTGTCAAAAGTAAACTGAGTTGGTAATTCTATTGCCTAAGGGGCTCCACTCTGATCTAGGAGATCTCTACTAGGATGGTAGCTGTCAACAGCGTTCGAGCCTCATCTGACCGGGGGTTCAAACTCCGGACTTATATATATATATATATATATATATATATATATATATATATATATATATATATATATATATATATATAATTTGAATCTATTACTACACATTCAGCAGTGCTTGAAAAACATGTTGCGACTCCTATTAACTATTCTGGCCGTGTCTGGTCAGCTGATCAATGGAGAACAGAACCAGCAACAAGACCTCTCAGCTGCCACTTCAGGATTCTCCCAAAGGCTCTACCCGAAGGTGGCGCTGGATAAAGACAACGTTGTCTTCTCTCCATACAGGTACACAGATAACTTTCTTAAAATCTTGAATTATTGCGTAAAAAAGTTACTGATCGACAGCAGTAGTTCACCGTATTTCTAGTTTGTGTTTTCGTTTATGTTTGTATGTGTGTTCGGTTTTGGTTGGTTGTGTTTAGGGTGGACAATGCCGGGTAAGTGCTTATTACTAAACACACATGTCATGGACCTTTACAGATAGGTTGTTCACAGAGACCAGTGCAGGGCCTAGCCGGGACGGCTAGTATATACATATCCAACGAAAATATAGTTAAATGTGTCAGCCATTGTGTTTTTCGGCTCGTCCTGAACCAACAGTGAAGTGCAGACTCATATCACATATTCCAATCGAAGACACATAATATGGGCATCCATTTTAATACAATTTTTGACTTATTCAACACTGACGTTTCTTGCTTGTGTTAATCATATTAATATGTATAGCATCCAGTCAATTCTAACCATGACTTCGCTTGGCGCAAAAGGGAAAACTGCGAAAGAAATGTTAATGACGCTTGGTGTCGAGTCTGCTTCTCAGGTTTCTGCAGAGTACAAAAATTTCACCCACGAGGTTTGATTTAATTTAGCTGCAAATTAATTAAAATTGACATCTTAATGATTATCATCTTAGGTAAAATATTAAATTAAAGTTGCTGATTTTCGCATTGAAGTTTTAAAAACTGCACAGAGTTTCTTAATTAAAAACAAATATTGTTTCAACTTAGACAAAAAAATATTCTTTGGTTTCCTGAGGTTATGTTTTTAAAATAATACAATCAACTAAACAAAATACAAAAGCAAATTGGAAAAATATTCATATCCATCAAAATAAATACATCGTTAATCATTATGCTACTGTCATGCTAGGCTAAATTAGAGTGAATCGTTTTTTTTTCTGTTACAGATTACTTCACTCCAAGAAGTCGTCATTAGCACAGGAAACGGCATTTTTGTCAATCCAAGAATAAAAATCAAAACTGGATTCACTAAAGATGTTGAGACCAAATTTAGTGCCCTAGTGGAGAATATTGACTTTTCCGCCCCTGAAGGGCCAGAGAAGGCAATCAACGACTATATAGCTGGAGCCACAAAAAATGTTATTGAAAACGTTTTACAAAAAGGTTTTTCTAAAATTTCTGTATGCTATACAAATAAATAAACTCTTACGTGTAGATATAAGGTATAAGGTTTTTGAAACTAAAACTAAGAGAACCGAATACAGAAAACGTTCGTTATAAAGTTTTTGCACGGCTTTTGTTTTAGAAACATGAGAAAACTTATATTAATTTATCTAACTAAATGTGGATCGGCGTGGTCGGGACGGTAAGGCTCATAGTTGTTGAACTGAAACGTCCAGTTCGAACCCCCTGGCTGATGAGGCTCTATACCTAGGGAGGCCAACTATTTAGGAGAGAAAACTCCAAAATCAAACAAATGCTGCCTAGTAGTTTTTTTTCTTAGATGGACTATGAAAATAAGTCCAGAAAGAAAAGCAGGCTATGAACAAAGTCAATGGTCCTTATTGCGTATACCATGTTAACACGGAATCTTTAATTGTGTTGGAGGAAATTCCGTTCAATAGAGAACGAAGAAGAAGAACTGCTTTAAACCTGATTATTTTTTAAAAGGGCGAAATAGTTAGTTTACAAACCAGGGTCTTTCTCATAGCAAATGGTGCTACTACCCAATAGGTATTAATACAAATTGTGTTTACAATGTTCTAGGATTTATCACTGAGGACACGGCTATGGCCTTAGTCAACACAATTTTCTTCAACGGGACTTGGGAGACGGAGTTCCAACCAGCAACTAAAAAAAAGTTCTTTAGACATGGCAAGGATGAAATGATGGTAACGTTTATTGAACGATGTTGTATAAATTTACGTTCTATGTTGACCGACGCCAACTTGAAAACAGTTGAATAATCAATGAAACACACACATCATATTAAATTATTGAATAATCAATGAAACACACACATCATATTAAATTATTATACGTCGCAAAAAAATAAAGTACAAAAACACACAGATTGTAAATGGTTCTCAGTAAAATACGTATAATGGAAAACTGCGCAAATAGAAAAATTCGCAAATACAAATTAATTACATTAAAACACTTCAAATTTGTAATTATTTCGTGCAAAAGTGTTTAATTATGCTACAATGTACACCAAGGCAGCCTTTGCTAATGTATATAAATATTCGATTAAAGAAAACAAAAGTGCCCCCTTTTCTATGTGCAGCTTTCCGGGCAGCGATGTAAAACGTCGACTTTTTATTAAAATCTGGATTTCTTGTTTTTTTTTCTGACGATTACAATACTTCCACTCTACTCCGTATACAATAAGTAAAAAAAAATGCAATTTCTTCATGTGAGACTTTTGTCTTTTATTGCCGTTTTAAGATTGATATGATGGATCAATCCAACTACATAAAATACAAGAAGGATAAATCAAATCAAGTTGATGTGGCAGAGCTGCCCTATAAAGGGGGAAGGTTTGCTTTCTACATCGCCCTGCCAAAGAAAAAAGACGGTCTCGCAAATCTTGGTATGTTAACACACAATCACACAACACACCACACCACACCACACACCACAACACAACACACAACACACAACACAACAAAAATTAATATTAAAATACATTTTAATGATTTTCTTTTAAGAAAAATGGCTTTCAAATCCACAACACATGGAGGAGCTGTTCAAAAACCTCCGACCCAAATCGGTCTCGGTCACGATTCCAAAGTTTCAGACAGAGACGACGCTTGACTTGAAACAACCTCTAATGGATCTTGGGATGGTCGAGGCGTTTGGTCCTGGAGCTGACTTTACTGGCATCACCTCTTCAGGTAACCGACTACTGATTAGGTGTTTTAGTTTATATAACATCTTTAGTCTTAGGCAAGTGTTTTAGATAGCTTTTTCAAATTGATTGTTTTTGCATTTTGATGAATAAAATCTCGCACCAGTATTACCCGTTGCGGTAACCGAGGGTGTTACCCTACCCCTTACAACGATTATGCATATTCGGTTTGATGTCACCCTTTTCCCCATTATTTTGTTGTTGTTTACTGGACAAAACACGATATTAGTGATATTAGTGATATTAGTGATATTAGTGATATTAGTGATATTAGTGATATTAGTGATATTAGTGATATTAGTGATATTAGTGATATTAGTGATATTAGTGATATTAGTGATATTAGTGATATTAGTGATATTAGTGATATTAGTGATATTAGTGATATTAGTGATATAAGTGATATAAGTGATATTAGTGATATTAGTGATATTAGTGATATTAGTGATATTAGTGATATTAGTGATATTAGTGATATTAGTGATATTAGTGATATTAGTGATATTTGTGATATTAGTGATATTAGTGATATTAGTGATATTAGTGATATTAGTGATATTAGTGATATTAGTGATATTAGTGATATTAGTGATATTAGTGATATTAGTGATATTAGTGATATTAGTGATATAATATGTTTATTAGATGTAAAACTCCCCTCCCTCCCCATGTTATTAACGGGTGCAGACTGCGACCCCGCCCCCACTTAGTGACGCTGCTAATTATGGGCAACCTGTGCTTCGCCACTGTGAATCTTTTTCTTTTAAATGTACCAACCAACAATACCAAGCATTAACACAAAAGAAACGTAAACGCAAACGCAAACTCAAATATAAACGCTAACTCCAACGCAAACGCAAACGCTTTTTGAAATAGTTTGCCATCTCCCCCAACACGCGATGTAAAATTGTAATTAGAAAAACCGCCGAACAACAAACAAGACCAGCCGATCAAACACTATTTTCTATGAAAGACTCAATGAAATTATCAATGACAGAGTCAATGATAACTACCGCTCTCCTGTATTTTTCTCTTAAGAAACTCAATGATAAAGCGTTAGTAGTTATAAAGAGAGAGAGAGAGAGTTTATCAAAACGGAAATAATTCAACTCGTTTAATTAATAAAGCGTTAAACGTAATTATTAATTCTTAATTTCTCAGCGATTGATACAATTGTTTAGGGACAGTTAAACTATTTTTTAAAAATATAGATCCTCGATCTTCATTTATAATTTATTAATTAAAATAAGATTTTAAAAAAATAATTAAAACAGGTCTTTGTACTATATTATTAAAAAAAACAACTAATGAATATAATAAATAATTTTGACTATTTCTCATTCTAAACCTATCGAATATCTTTTTTTTAAATGCAAGGAAACCTTTTTTAGAACCTACATGATTAACTTTTCTTCTAATAATAAAAAAAAACTCTAAATAAAAACTATTATTCCTACAAATATTAGAGTAGTCTCCCTTGACAGTTTCTATTCGAATGTATTTTGTGTTAATTTTCGTTATGAAATACAGTTGACTTTTTAAATAAATTATATAAGAAAACAATCTATCTCTGTGTATATTTATTTAAAAAAAATATTATTACAATAATTAGAATAGGTGTTACTGGTTAAATAGCAATTATTCTCATTCTAAATCTTTGGCTATCGAGTTTCATGGGTTTTTAAATTTAAGATTATGAACACATTAGCTTGACGAAAATGATTATATACACTTAAATACATACTAAAATTTACTTTTGTTAATAAACCTACACTATTTTATGCACACATACAAAAAAAAAAGAATATTTTAGCGGCAGTTACAACGTCAAAAAAAAAGGAAACTCCTTTATACTGAATAGTTCTACGTAACAACAAAAATGTAAAAATACATAGTCCTAGAGGACACTAACACAAACATATATACATACGAAGATATGTGTGTGTGTAAGTAGGATGTGAGGTGTGTAGACAGGCGGGGTGGAAGGAAAGCAGTTTGGCAGGAATAACGGTAGGTAGGAAAGTAGGTAGGCAGGCAGCAGCGCAGGCAGGTTAGTAGATAGGTAGGTACGTAGGCAGGGAGTTAGGTATGTAGGTAGGTGGGCGTAGGTAGGAAGGCGCCTCACTCGGTATAGTGAGCGATTATAGTAGCCCATCATATTCATAGCGTTTCGCAATTATTAAAACGAACAAAGGTACCATAGTACTCACGGGAAAACCCGGGGAGCTAAATGGAACCCTGCCAGGGCGCCACCAAATCGAATTTTTTTTCGTAGAAACCACCACAGGGGTATTAGCATTAACTTCTCAAATTTGAATGACAAACGAATGAAATCTTTGATAATGCTTAAACAAACAAACCCACATATTCGTTTTTGGGGCGCGGGTTTGTCCACACTGCCGCCTAGACGCACCAAGGCTCACTGTATGAAAGCCTTGAGTGTACGTTAATCAACCTCTGTAATAGTGAGGTAGAACACACATTGGCGACCGCCCATGTGTTAGAGACGCGTCCCTTGGCGCTCCAGGGAGCCACTGGTTATATTTCCGCAGGGGCGCCCCTAATTCGGTTTAATTATAAAATGTCGTGTGCCACCGTGTCCCTATTGTAGGGTGCTCTTTAAGGAGGCACTCTCTGTAGAGCCCGGGGCGCTCGCTGTCGCCAACTGCCAGGGCGCCGGCGGGCGCTCATTATTCTACTTAGTGAACATTTATAGTAGCCCATCTAAACCGTAGTGTCGCCCGAGATGGGTCTTGGCCGCTCTGGGCCACTCAACCGCCGGGGAGCTGGCGGATGAACCTGTGTAGTTTTATCACTGAATCTCAGAGGCGTAGCACCATTCCTGGCGCCTGGGGACAAATTTTCAATTTGGCGCCCCCCCCCCTCCCGCCGAAGACAAACTTTCAATTTGGCGCCCCCTCCCCGTATTTTTTAAAAATATTTATAATGCAAAACTATAGCTAAAATGAGCTTTAAAATTTTTCCAACCATTTTGGCGCCCCTAGGGTTGGCGCCCGGGGACATATGTACCCCCCGCCCCCTCGCTGCGCCTCTGCTGAATCTAGTATTACCTATGACCGCAATTGAAGATAGCCCCTCTGGATTCCCCTCTGGATTCTGAGCTCATAATCGTATAATGAGAAAAATCGAACCCTCCCAGGGTGCCACATTTAAGAATTTTTTCTTTCTCGAAACCCTTTTCACCAACTACCCAAAATGTTATGACTCTCGTACGAACAGTGTCAAATTGCATCTGGCTTTTATTTTTATGGAGAAAAATTGCATTGCTTCCTGTCAGACACCCCAGATCGAATGGGGCGCCAAAAGGGGTAGACAATTTTTAAAAAATCCTCATTCTTCAGTAAAATTTAAGAAAACAGATTTATACATGGCTGATATCCTCAATTATTTTATATAGGGGGGTGTATGTAGGGATGTGCGCCTTTTTGCCAGCGTTTGAATAGGGTTGGCACATAATTGATAATTCGCCCCGGCTGCCGGAATAGGTTGCTACGCTTCTGCTTCCTGCTAGGGTGCCGCCCTGGCGAAATCTTTCCGGGGGGGGGGGGGCGTGCGGACACTGTTAAAAGTATTTTTTTCTATATAAATTCCGTTTCGTTCGGGGGGGGGGGGGTCGATAGACTTTCTTTGGGGGGTGGGGGGGGGGGTCTGCTTCCCCCCCCCCCCCCCCCCCCCCCCCCCCCCCTCCGAATAGATTCCTGGAAAAAACTCTGTTCACAAAGTTTTATGGCGATCCGATGAAAAAGATGTAGTAATTCATATAGGACAAACAGATAAACATACTTTCATTTCTATAAATATAAATAGATATATAGGGCCTACTTTAACTAGTGTCCGCATACCCGCACCCGGAAACTTAGTCACAATTTTCTTTGTTACATTTGAACCCTGTAGGTTAATCAATATTAACAAAATTGAACAAGATGCAACAAATACAGTTAACCAAGAAACTGAACAAATAAAATTCACGTTATCTTTTTATTGTTTTTAGATATAGAGTAGTAACAGACTACCTACAGGTCCTAACTCGCGACGAGGTACACATTTGTATTAAAACACACATCTAAGACATTTTCCATTTAGGTGGGTTTTGCAGTAGAGTGGTTTCTTAAGTCGTGGACAAGTGATTGCGCTTATCTCTGTTGAGTAGCTATGTATTCTGTCCTATATTAGACACATTTGTAAATATCTGTCACAATATGGGCATAGAGATGATATAACGATAGCTTATCTTTGCGGACGACGCTAAACTTTGGCATCGACACCACGGCCTACGAGTTCAAATTCGGTCTTTCAGAAATGTTTGAAGTCTCTAGATTAAAACTACTTTTCTCTTTTATGTACCTACTGACCACATCACATGCATTTGTTCTGAAAGTCTAAAAACAGAGGCACAAATATATCGTCTAGACTTGTGAGGTCTACAGATTAGGTATTTTGGCAGTTATCTAAGCCCTTGCCTGTTCTGACTAAAAGCCTTATTCTTTCTCTATCGACGCCTTGCGTAACATGGGATTGGGTTTTTTAAGGCGGCATAAAGCTTTATGTTGTTCTTTTTTGAGTACACTAGATTAAAAACTAACGTTTTCAGATGCCTAAAGATGTTTAACCACTAATTAATCAGAATAATGGGTCAAGATTTCAATTCTTGGTTTTGGGACACGTTAGTTGCCGGGGTTGAGCTAATGTCGATAGCATAAGGACTGTACCTTGATGCGGGCGTTTTATTTGTTGCCCATCGTAATAATTGAATGGTTGATGGGGCTTCTTCAAGGGTTTGATTTGCCGTAATGTTAATGATATCATGCATGTGCGGCTTTTCTAAGAAGAAAATGCGTTTAAACACTTTTTAGTTATGCTTTTTTTTTAAATAGGCCTATATTTTACGACATCATAATCGTAATGAACAATAAAATGAACAACTTTAGAATAGACCTGTTTCGGCTAACATGAATGTTATTCTTCAAACTAGTAATGTTAAACGTGTCTTTTTCGAATTTTCGACTTATAAGCAATACAGTAAATTCCGATAACGTCCATATGCATACAAGCAATGGCGTAGGCGAGGAGGGGTTTAATAGTGATTTAATAATGATACTTTCTTAACAGTGGCGGAACTAGATAAAAAGGCCCCCCCGCAGAATTTTTTTTTGGGCCCCTATATATATATATATATATATATATATATATATATATATATATATATATACATATATATATATATATATATATATATATATATATATATGGAAAACAAAGGTCGCACTAAATTTAAAAAAAAATGTATCCGGTACCCGAATAAATCAGAGGTTTTCCAACACACGAGCTGGCCCCATTCAGTTTTCCATGTGAGAAGCACGGACTCTCTAAATCTAGTCCAACACTCCAAACTGGCGCCGGTTTTTATGAGGCTTTCATCAAAACGTTACCAACCGTGTGCCCTGTTTTCCAGAAGTTGAATTAAAAGTTAACAATGTCGGCAGTTCATTTCTTGGATCTTAGGGCGCGGGTTTGTCCACACTACCAACTAGACACGCCAAGGCATGCTGTAAGTCCCTCGGCGACGACCCAGGTGTCAGGGGAGTCACGGGGCTCTTGGAGCTACCGGTTACATTACTGCACGGGTGATGGGTGCAACACATTGTTTCTTCCGGCAGAGCTCCCCCTCCCCCACCCCTCCTCCGAAAACAGTCTACCCAGGAAGAAACATTGGTGCGACACCTAATTAGATGTAGTCATCGAGTGTTGTAGCGAGACTTATTCCTAGTGTTGTGGGAACTTTTAAACGACTGTCTGTGGGAGGCCAACTTGCTCATATGTGATGCGCTCAGGATGACACTGACGCCGGTTGTATTCAAGTAGTAACCTCATCCGTTTATGCAGGATCACGGGGCGCTAAATCACATATTTCCGTTAGGAGTCCCCACTCCAATATGTACAAATGTTAGGCCTATGACAGAAACTTTTGCGGGGCTGTACTCAACAGCTTCCCAAGTTTTCATGGCGATTGGGTGAATGATGCAGTAATGCAAAATAGACAGAAAAATGTTTTTCACATGTACAACTGTATGTGGCCAGGTCACGCGTTGGATAACCTTCTGATTTAGGGGAGGGGGGGGGGGACTAACAAAAAGCCAGACCCTCACACACCCCCACCTCAATGACGTCATTTATAAATAGTAATTGACTATTAATAATGTTCAATTAATTCTAAACGTAATTAATTTCTAAATAATTATATAAAAATAATCTTACCTGCCCTGTTTTGTGAATTATATGTGCCTAATACTATGAAAGTAAATTAATATCTGTTGACTAGATCTAGATCTAATGCTGTCTAGTGTCTGAAAAAATGTGCTGAAGTGTTGAATCGTACGGTTAGGAAGTAGTTCATAAACGATACATTTATCTCCTCGATACTTGTGAGGTTGAGAAAGAGGGGTGGGATAGGGGTCGGCTCGGGAAAAAAACTTGAAAGCGACATCAAAACGCCTTGATCTATGTACGTCAGCATCGCCCATTGTAAAACTTACTCAGGGGAGATTATTCCAAGTATAGACTTTAAAAGTTTACTATGATATTTCTCGTAAAAGCAAAAACAAGTAACCGTATATAAAACTGAAGTTTCTAGTATAGTATTATATTATTTTTTTTATTATTTGTAGGATGCAAGATACAAATTCAACCACTATCACAAACACATTAACATTGAAAAATGTACAAAGGATTTCGGGTCCCTTACCAATGCCGCAGAGACGAAAGCCCACTTCATATGTAGCGGCTTTTCGTTCTATGGACTTTGTTGTTTTTTAAAAAGAATTTAGCCGACGAAAGCGTGTGTTTGATTGTAGGGAAATAGAACTCGGCCTTGACAATGGTTAAAAAAATACAACTATAAATAACTGTTTAAAATATGTAAAAAAAATTCGACAATTTTTGAACCCCCTTTTTGGTCCCCATCCCCTGCCTAATCCGCGACAGTACACTTTGGAGGATCGGTTAAACAGTTACGTGTCCTCTATTTAGCTATTAAAGAGGTGGGGGGCAACGAGTCAAAGAAGTCATTCAAATTTGAAGAGTTGCCTATATTTTACACTGTAGTTTGTGTAATGGATTTTATCTGTTGCGGAAGAGCGTGGTATAGTGACTGTAAAATAAAGATAATCGTACCGCAGCTAGTGTTTTTCTTTTACAAACCAAATATTAAGGCAAAAATGCACGAAAATTAAATTCAAAATTTAAAAAAATATTAATTTTGGTCAGCCGTGGACCCCTAAACGGCCTGCCCCCCCCCCCCCCGCGCATTGCGGGGTCTGGCGGGACTGTAGTTCCGTCGCTGTTCATCAGGTAAATGAACAACTACTGTCTAGTGTCTTTAACAAAATGTGCAGGAGTGGTCAGTTTACAGTTCAGTAGTTCATAGACGGTTCGTTAATCTATGCATTACATCTTATTGTAAGATTAAGGGTGTGGTGAGGGGTAGAGGTGAGGGGTAGGGGTGAGAGGGGGCAGGGGAGAGAGTTGGGAAGGTTCATTGGAAGGGGACAAGAAAGCGCCGATGAACATCTACATCAATAGTGCCGACTTTTTCCGGTCGTCTAGAAGACCAGGATAGTCGCCGCAACATTTCCCCAGCCCGATTTCAAAGTGTACCGGCACAGTCAAATTTCAGATGCTTCGCTGAAGGGAGATAACTTAAACTTTTACAAGTTTATTGATACAGTTGTTAAAGTAAAAATGAACGCAATTATAAATGTACGAGATCAAAATAAATAATTATATTTTTTGTAGAATTCAGGCCACACACAATCATAGATATGTATTTTAATAATGTAAACAATATAACAATGCTTTTTTGTTCTCCTAGTCGACGCCACTAAAAAGAACGGTAGGCTGCGTCTTTGAAGTTGACTTTATGTCTGGCGGTCTCTCGAGCTATATAGTCTGTGCATTTTTATCAAAGACGTTTGCCGACTATCGTGTTTGTTTGTAACTGTAGAAGAAAGATAACTTGACCTCCACCTAATTTTTTTTTTTAAATTTTTTTTTTAAATAATTTAGCCAGGATTTTTGGGCCCCCAATCGGTCTGGGCCCCCCCGCATTGCGGGGTCTGGCGGCACTGTAGTTCCGCCCCTGTTTCTTAACCCTCTACTGGACATCATGTTTGGTACCTTGCCCCCGGCAACTGGGTGGATTTGGATTACACCCAAGTTTTACTTCATAGTAAATGGCTTCAGTTTTAATTATTGGAGTTGGTAGCAACATTGACACAGTTGAAATCACATTAATTAGTACATAATTTACCATTACTAACAATAGGCCCTACTTAATTGTTTAATGTTGCTGGATATTAAGCCTAGTAGGTATTTATATTTATTAATTTGTACAGAAACAAAAAAAGGATTCCCAAACAAAGTTTTATTTTTCAGAAATCAATAAAGAACAGTTTTCAAAAGAATTTGTATAAAAGTAAATATTAAAAAATAAGAATATAGCATTGCATAGATAAAAATAAAATACTTGACACAAACAATATGAGGAATATTTTTTATCAGAGAAGAGAAAAATATATGATGTAGTTTGAAAATAATAATGTACAGAATGTAGCTTTTGCAGATTAAAATGAAAACTCTCATGCCTATATAATTTATTGAGTAAATGAAGCAAGACCCAAAACAATAGGCTAAATAATATGCATGGGACAGGCATTGAAAACTACAAATTGCATATAGTGAAGGTTACCCTATTTATTGGCTATATCCACAGTAAAGATTTATGGCTTTATTACCTGCTTGTAAAATTGTTAAGGAAAAAGTAAAGTATTGTTAACTTTTTATGGCAGACCAACTACGGGCTGTGTTCTGGGAACATGTCATCTGTAAGGGGCATTGTTCTCGGCACATGTTGTCATTTTTTGTGTTCTCGGCACATGTTGCCATTTTGTGTGTTCTGGGCACATAATGACATTTTGTGTGTTCTGGGAACATGTTGCCATTTTGTGAGTTCATGGAACATGTTGACATTATTTGGCTGTGTTCTGGGAACATGTTGCCATTTTGTGTGTTCTGGGAACATGTTGCCATTTTGTGAGTTCATGGAACATGTTGACATTATTTGGCTGTGTTCTGGGAACATGTTGCCATTTTGTGTGTTCTGGGAACATGTTGCCATTTTGTGTGTTCTGGGAACATGTTGACATTATGTGGCTGTGTTCTGGGAACATGTTGACATTATGTGGCTGTGTTCTGGGAACATGTTTGTTTCATTTTTAAATATTATAATAATTTTTTTTTAGAAATTCTATATTAGGAATTGTGTATATATATAAATTTATATATTTAATAAGACAATTGGATGAATTATAATAAACAGCAAAAATGATTCAAATAAGTTTAGAAGTATTTGGCTTGCTGTCCTAACAGTGAACTGTATTGCGAGCTTGTTTCCCTAGTGATAACCCATGTTTTTTGTGCGACCCTTCCAATCAAGTATCCAGCTTTTTCTTGGCCTGTATCAAAATGCTGGTCAGACTTGCTTGACTTGTGTATCACAATATGATTTTGAATGTTTTTCTGTAAATGAAAAAAAGGCAAAATATTTTGATACTTTCTTTTGTGGAACTTGCAAGAAAAATAAATTACAAATTTATATTACTATCTCTAATATTTCTTTACTATAACTAATTACTTTGAAAAGATAAAGCACTGAACATGATGAATAACAAGAAACAAACATTATCAGCAAAGATTATAGATTTAAAATTGTGTTCATTCATATTGAAGATTAATGAAGTAGATTATCAATATTTACCCTCTTGATGGCTGATACTTTGATTTGATGTCTTTACTTTAAGCTTACACATCAGTCTCTGTGTGGTAAAATGTGAAATAATATGCTTCAATAAAACTGTTTCAGTATATTAATTATATTAGATAAGTACATAGTTTTGAGCTCTATAACAATATGTGTTTCAATTATCATTCAAATATAATACCCTCAAAGTTGTACACTCACTGATTTATTAGAATTTAAAAAAAGACAATAATTAATAAAATATTTTGGATTAAAATCCATTATATTTATTATAACATACAATGCTATCTCTTGCTATAATAATTACTTTAAAAAATGGGTTATGCCTATAGTACAGTTACCTGAGGATGAAACTAGGCACAGTGTATAGTCCACGGAGACTGATTAATATCCCTTGTAATTGAACATCAGTTGCAGTTATGAAATCTGGATGGCCAAACACACACTCATAGTCCTGAAAAGCAATTTACACATAGATTAGCAAGAATATCTCACAAATTATTAAATTAAAGCTAACCCCTATTTAGTGCAATCCATCAAAGTACTAGCATTTTTCGTTAAGTTGTAGACACAATACAAAGTAATGTTTGGTTTGTGATTTACATACTTTTATAAAATAGCAATCAAATTATATATATATATATATATATATATATATATATATATATATATATATATATATATATATATATATATATATATATATATATATATATATATTCATTGTAAATTTTAGTTATGTCTTGCTATTAAATTTATTTACTCGACTGATCTAAACTCACTTTATTTAAACATAATATAGTGGATAAGTATAGTGATTTTATTATTCAGCAATAAATAGCAGCCCTAAAAAAATTTAAATAGTAACGTTTGCGAATGAACACATTAAATTCTATGTATTTCCATTTCTATGTCTTTCCCAACTTGATGCATATTACTAACCAAGCATTAAACTATAGTCCTAAACCTGACTCTAATTACCATTTATTGGACAACCTGAACCTTTGCGATACCATGTTATAATATATTATTTTAAAAAAGAGCTTACCACTAATTAGTAAAATAAATTGTTTTTAGTATTAACTGAGCCACATACTATCTGCTGCTATTGTCATCACCAGAAATCCAGTATGTTGGCAAAGATTAGTCTCTAAGTTCCCTGCAACCTCTTTCCTCTCGAGTGCGGAAAACACTGAAATTATTAATCATTATTTCATTATGCCTAATAGTTTAAAGGTAGTATTAAAGTAGTACTAAATAGTATGAGTCTTAGTTACTATAGGTCTAATGATAATTATTATTGTGTATGCTTACATGCTTTAAGTTTTATGCACAATATTGGTATATAATATATAGTCTATAGTATATAGCCTAAGCTATAGAGTATATAGGCCTATGAGCCTAAATATAACAGCAGCTTGAATAATGCTCATTAGCATGCATTCACTATAAACTATAAAGATAATCAAATATTTCAATATAATTAAATTATAACTAATAGGCCTAATAGTAAATAGACTTTTTTCTTGTGGCAACAAATTTAAAGTATAGGGCAGTACAGTTATAGTATAGGCCTACTAAATTCTATATTTAAGTATGTGGGCTTTTCATTCCAATGCACCACAATAGATACCACACATGATCAAGCTGGACCTCTAATCTAAAGATTTAATAATTGGGCCTAACAAACAGTGAAACTACAATAAAAATCATGTAAATTACTAATTTAACCTTCTTACCTCCGCTTCTCTAGATTCCTATTCTATTTCCTTCAAACTTTCTTTTTATGCAGCCGTATGATTAGATTCTAGACTATATTCTAATAAACATGAAATAACTACTAACCAGAACACTAGATCTAAATTTCTATATTCTATGCAATATGTATTAAACCTATAGGCCTAATATTTATTTTAAATTCCTATGCGATGTGTCGTGAACTGTAGGTTTCATGTTATTTTTGTAATGGCGGAAATCATTTTAAAATTTCGTTTCCTTCCTTTTGTTATTCTATTTATAGATTCAAACTGCTTAGAGACGGAGCAATTATCATTGAGTTAGTCGGCTGATCCACACAGGAAGTGCGGGTATATCTATTAATTACTCAGTGATCTGATCATTGACAAAAACAGAGATAGCCATTCGCATGGGGTGACAAGACAGAGAGAGAGAGAGAGAGAGAGAGAGAGAGAGAGAGAGAGAGAGAGACTGTCCAACATTCTCTAATTTAAGCATTCGTTTAAATAACATAAAAATTGTGATTTTAAGAGATCATAGCAATTAAAAAACCACTGTAAAACTCTGTTTCGACAAATCAGGAAATAATATAATCTTAACAATAGTAGTAGCGTAGCGAGGGTAGGGGGCGGGGGGGGGGGGACATATGTCCCCGGGCGCCGAGCTTAGGGGGGCGCCAAAATGGGTTGGAAAAATAAATTGAAAGGTTGAGGGGGGTGCAAATCGAAAGTTTGAAGGGGGGGGGGGGCAAATCAAAATCTCGAGGGGGGGGGGGTGCAAATCGAAAAGTTATCCGGGCGCCGGGAAGGGTCGCTACGCCTCTGAACAATAGTCTATTCTAATCATGAGCCTTAACATAATAATCAATGCGGTAGGATTAAAAACATAATACTTAAATAGCAATATTTTGCGCGAGTTGAGTTTCTTTTTAAATTACCTTCGCTGACATAATTAAAAGTACATTTTTAATAATTTGTTTTTTTTCGACCATACTGTTATTAAAATGTACTATTTTTTTCTAGGAATCTAAACGAAAATATCATTTGACATTAATCCGTTTACTATGATTTAACAATGTGCGTGTATTAAATATTTTATTCAAGTTCTTTTGTTGGAGTATACGAAAGTGTAAAAACTTTGCCAACCATAAAACAATTTAAGTCGTTACATAAATAGACCTTCGCAAATTATTTTTAATAAGACAATGCGATGCAATTAAATGCACGGCATGTGGTGTTTCTAGATTCTATAGCGATAAAGGAAGGAAGGAAGGACTGAAAAACTACCTAGCTGCTTACATTATATATATATATATATATATATATATATGTATATATATGTATAGGTACAGGTAAAGGTATAGGAAGAGGTAGGGGTAGGGGTAGAGGTAGAGGTAGAGGTAGAGGTAGAGGGAGAGGTATGTGTATGTGTATGTGTATGTGTATGTGTATGTGTATGTGTATGCGTATGCGTATGCGTATGCGTATGCGTATGCGTATGCGTATGCGTATGCGTATGCGTATGCGTATGCGTATGCGTATGCGTATGCGTATGCGTATGCGTATGCGTATGCGTATGCGTATGCGTATGCGTATGCGTATGCGTATGCGGATGCGGATGTGGATGTGGATGTGGATGTGGATGTGGATGTGGATGTGGATGTGGATGTGGATGTGGACGTGGACGTGTACGTGTACGTGTGTGTGTGTTTGTGTGTGTGTGTATGAATATATATATATATATATATATATATATATATATATATATATATATATATATATATATATATATATATATATATATATAAATATATATATATATATATATATATATATATATATATATATATATATATATATATATATATATATATATATATATATATATATAAATCTTTCACTCTTGAAATTATTGCCCGACACAGGCAACATTTACATCAGTCAAGTGATTCACAAAGCCAAAATTGACGTCACCGAGCATGCAACAACTGCGGCGGCGGCTACCGTTGTTGACTCGGAGGATTACTCAGCTGATAATATAGAATATTCGTTTATAGCTGACCACCCGTTTCTGTATTTCCTCAAGGATATACAATCCGGAATAATTTTGTTCCAAGGAAAATTTTCCGGTTAGGTAGTTCAAAATAAACTTGAGATAAAATGAAGAAAATGTTTTCGTTTTATTTAATCAAAAGCACCATTATCTACACAATTGTTTATTTAATCAAAGGCAACATTATCTACACAATTGTTTATTTAATCAAAGGCACTATTATCTACACAATTGTTTATTTAATCAAAAGCACCATTATCTACACAATTGTTTATTTAATCAAAGGCACCATTATCTACACAATTGTTTATTTAATCAAAAGCACCATTATCTACACAATTGTTTATTTAATCAAAGGCACCATTATCTACACAATTGTTTATTTAATCAGAGGCACCCATAAACAACAGTCTCCGAAGCAAGTACAGCGAAGATACAGACCTTCATGAACAGCTACCTGACACAGATTTTAAAATTCAGGTGGCTGACAAAGTGCCGAACATAGAATTTTGGAGAAAAGCAAGACTGGGTGTCACATATGCTGCGAAAGGCTCACTCAAATGTGACTCGCCAAGCGCGTGATTGGAACCCCTAGGGAAAGCGGAAAAGAGGGCACCCTAGACAGACCTGGGGCGGAGTCTTCTCAAAGAACTGAAGCCAACAGGGATGTCTTTGGAGGCGGAAAAATTAATAGCCGGGGATCTATTAACAGAACTGTTTATTTAATCTAAGGAAATCACTATCAACAAAACTGTTTATTTATAGTCTAGTTTAATGTTTATACATTATGAGACAGTTCTTTATAAGTAGTTAAATTATCGGGTTACCGTTACCTTAGTCTTATAAAATTAGTATTTTTGTTTTCTCTGTTTTGCATCATTGATATTGTTGAGGTGAGTATTGTCAAAAATAGAAGTTTTAGCTGTAGGGCTAACGATCAACAGGGCAGATGGAGAAAAAATGTACATGTTGCTTGGCATATGAAGAGATGGCGTGGTCGCCATTATGCCCATCTGCCTTTACTTTCCCTAACGTCAGTCAGCTACCCGTGGTAGCCGGATGGGCACAGAGATGTCAAACTCAACCCCGCGTTTGAACTCGAGACTTTTCAGGTAAGCATTAGTACGCTCTACTCGATAAACGTATTTACAGCGCTACAAATCTACAGACGTAAGATGTCTAAAATAGTTGTAAAAAAAGTTTCAATGCCTTGCTTAAAACATCCTACAGATGCGGGGTGACAGAAATGTGTTCCTTAAATCAAAAATTATACTTTGCTTGGTCGAGTTGGATTTGAGTTGATCTCTTTTGTTTTGGTCTATCTAGCAAGGTCAAAAGTAACGAGAGCTGTAACAGACTGGGGGTTAAAGGTCGTCTCCTTAGTCACGTGATTGAGGAATGAAGCCTAAAGTAAACAAACGAATCACCCCTTCTCGACATTTTTTTAGCGTTGACTTTGCACATATACCTTGCACATGTATGGAAATGTGTTAATTAAAAAACAACTGCTTTTTCTAATCTAACATTTTTCTTGTTCTCTTTAAAAGTGTGTGTGTGTGCTTGTGTGTGTGTGTGTGCTTGTGTGTGTGTGTGTGATTTGGGGCTTCAAAATCTATTTGACTTTAACTAATTACTTATCCAACTTATACAACGCTTTATTTTATTTGTCTACAAAACTTTATATATATATATATATATATATATATATATATATATATATATATATATATATATATATATATATATATATATATATATATATATTGCTATTATTTGAAGCGTAATATATGCTACTGCAGACACTCTGGCTCCCGAGTATCTGCTGCCTTTGAGTGCCCAATCATTCTTTTAACACCTAACTTGCCGAGTGAAGACAGAATTACACCCTGCCTTTAACCCCTAACTCCCCGTGTGGTCTACACCCGTATGATTATCGCCAAGTGCCTGGCTAGTAAAAGCTTTTCTATTTTTAGTTGAAACCAACAACTTCCGGTTAGGGTCTCTGGGGATGAGGTACAAGCAGGGAGAAAATTGACAGTCTTAAGACTTTTCACTTTGTGGAGTTTTCGTTTTTCTGTATAGACCACTTAAACAGGCTTAGTTTGGCCGACTGTTTCATTGATTGTTTATGTAAGAGTGTTCAGGAAAGTAAAGAAAGCTGTTGTTTTACACGGTATTTCTACCTCGATATGTTTCACGATTTTTTTTTTAAATCCTGTCCGTTTTGTGTGGTAAACATCGTGAATTTTTTTTTAGAAGTATAAATAACTTTAAATTCAACATACGTATTTTTTCAGTAAATGTACATAAGTGATGAACTGAAATTGTCTGAACATATGTGTTTACCTCCTGAAGTAGGACCTAAATCCTGATGAGGGGTGGTACATAAATGATGTCACATTTGTTTGAGGGGGGGGGGAGGTTGTAGCCTGAAGTGTAACGTCATTTTAGGGTGGTGGTGGGGGGAGGGAGAGAGAAGAAGGGTAGGAAAAAATCGTCAAAAAAAAGAGTGACTTCATTAATTGGGAGACTGATAAAAATCAAAGGGAAGTAGAGTTGCTGGTCGTACTACTTTTTTAAATTCCGCAATTGCGGAACCGGAATTCTACTTCACCTATTCCGTCACCGATGAAGAACGCGACTAAACCATAGTGTGAGTAAAAACAGAAGAAATATAAAATAGATTTTGATTGTAATTAAATATGGGCAAAAAAAAACCTAAGATATGATATATTTTGTTTCGTTTATTACACAACATTCCATCTTTTTACCACTAGGAGTCACGTAATGCCTGTTGATACGAGAGAGATAAATAGAGAGGGGGGCAGATAGCAGGAGAGAATGACAAGGAAATTGGTCGCCAAAGTTGTAGTCCGATAGCTACTGGGGTGGGAGGGGCGAGGGCTGAGGGGAAAATGGCTGGCCTGCATACGTCTGTTTGTATACAGTATAAAACTTAAAATGAATATATTTTTGAAGCAATCTAAATTTTCCTGGTAAAACAATCATAATTATATCATTCCAAACTTTTAATATCAGTATAAAGAATATATTTTCATACAACATCAATGTATTACTTTTATATAAATAAAATACCAACGAATCCGACCATGATAGCTTTATTTACAAGTCATTATACATTTAACAAATTAATTTCCCCAAATTATATTTCAAACATAAAATAGTATAAATAGTATTAGCTTCGATTTGTTAAAACAGAAACATCACAGTTTTCATTAAAATCAACATGGTTTTTTTTTAAAATTAGCAACTGGAATGTTGGTTTGGTTATTTTTTTAAAAATTTAGTAATTAGCATCAATCAACAGTTCAATGATTAATTAGTATTAATTAACAGGGAATGAGAGCGACATTTAAAACAAAAAGCCATAACTAATGAGCACACTAATGACTGAACTATGGACATATTGACTACAAGAAAAATGTCTACGATCTTTGAGAAAATTTAAACTAAAATATGGAGAAAAATGTACCTAATCGATGTCTTTCGATAATTACGTGTGAATCATAATGAGGCAAAATGGTGAGATGTAAGCTTCAAGAGAGGTATGAAGATGAAACATGATGAAAAGATTCGTTGAGATAAGATGAAAATAGATGATGATAATACAAAGTGGTTATATATGATAGTGACACATAGTTGTGTGATATGATGGTGATATATCAAAGTAATATATCATAGTCACATGAAGGTCAATTATAATTTCACATAGCTGTTTAAATAGACCATCGATAAAGGATACACATCGTCATTAGTCTGTTAAATTGCGGCAAAGCAGTTGGTCTTATATCTTCACTTTCCTTCTTCCTGTTTATTTGAATGGCATCCACACATCCACACACACACACACACACATATGTGTAAATAATAAACAGACAAATAAATAAAGTAAATAAAGTAAATAAAGCAAATAAAGTAAATAAACTAAATAAACTAAATAAAGTAAATAAAGTAAATAAAGTAAACAAAGTAAATAAAGTAAATAAAGTAAAGTAAATAAAGTAAAGTAAATAAAGTAAAGTAAATAAAGTAAAGTAAATAAAGTAAATAAAGTAAATAAAGTAAATAAAGTAAATAAAGTAAATAAAATAAATAAATAAATAAACAAAAAAATAAAATATATATATATATGTATATATATATATATATATATATATATATATATATATATATATATATATATATATATATATATATATATATATATATGTATATATATATATAAATACATATATATATGTTATATATTTATATATATATATATATATATATATATATATATATATATATATATATATATATATATATATATATATATGTGTGTGTGTGTGTGTGTGTGTGTGTGTGTGTATGTGTATGTGTGTATTTTAGTTACAAGAGCGTGTCATTAATAATTATAAAAATCGTCGCAAAAAATCATATTTGTATCACTTAAGTAATAGCATCATCACACAAAAATACTTTATCGTAAAAGTTAACGTGTAACAGTAACATACAAAGAATACAATACGCATGTAAAAAAAAAAAGATATAGCATATCTCCATGCACATTTTGAAACGAATTAGATTATCAAAATTGGTTCCATGACAAATGATCTCTGGACATTTTGATCTCTCAGATATTTTGTCAGGGGATCATTTATTCATGGTATCATTTGTCCAGATACAATTTGTCATGAGATCTTTTGTCATGAGATATTTGTCCTTATTTCATTTGTGCGTGAGATATTAATTTTGGGATATTTTGTCTGAGATCATTTGTCATGGGATCATTTGTCCTGTCACCCAAAAATATGTGAAAAACATTGAAAATATATCCTTGTCTTAGTTATGGCAAATAAATATAACCTGGAATTCTTATATGAGCAATTAATTTCTATATTATTTTTGCTGCAATTGGTTTCAAGAGCAGGTGAAGTAGAGTTGAGCAGTTACTATTGCCTGTATGCATGTCTTCCCTCTTGACAGCTTGCAACGTTTAGTCCAAACCCAGAGCTATTTCACAACAAAGGCAAAGTATAATAGCAGTGACGTGCCAATATATTACACTTACAATAGACTAACCTCACTATAGCATGATTTTATTTTGTTACCAAAACATATTAGAAGCGATAAACGAACAGTATTTGGAAGAATTTATTTTTTAAACTTCCGATTGTTCTAAGAAAATTGTATTTTCGGGTAGGGAGGGTCTCCTTCTGTGCTCCCCGGGGGTCCTAACAGTCACCGGATGTGACGTCGAGCGTTTCATAGCCAGGTCCGTGGTCATCTCGGGTACAACCTGGCAAGCGACTTTGTTGCCGGACCCTCTGACGTAATACGACAACCGGCTCATTAAGCCGGTCTCTGGCGTCTTTTTCGCGAAATCAATCGTAGGTTCGGAGCGACTGTTTGACTTTTTTTGCTGGAGATTTTTCGATTCCTTCGTGGCGTCATCGAGATTGGTTCCAAAAACGTTTTCGGACTGCGACCTCTGAGTTTCGAGTTTAGCGCCTTGTTGCGCTAGGAATAAATCACTACCGGAAGTGGTACCGTTAGATCGGTTAAACTTTTTGTTTTTTCGTGTAGAGTTCACGGAACTATGAACTTGTAAGTTATTTCCGTGTACGGGAGAAATTCCGGTGATGTTTTTACTCGAGCCCACACAGTTGAAATCATCGTCCGTGACGTCTGTTCCGGTACAGTTGTCGTCTTTCAGGATTAGCGTACAGGCGCTGCTGGCCGCGGAAAGCGGTTCCCCGTGGATTTTGTTTGTGGATCTGTTAATCTCTGACAGAAAAGATGTCGTGGAGCTTTTTTTCATGGCGTTGGACATATACAGAGATGTCGTCACCGTGGACAAACTCAACTGCCGCGGCGCTTTTCTTTTTTCAGAATTTGCTCGTACCTTAAACGATCGTTTTGTTTTTAACTCCTTACCCCCATCTTCGTTACCAGTAGCAACGGGTTTGGCTTCCTCGCCCGCGTCGTCTTCGTCCTTGCTGATGGAGGCTTGGAAGATGGAGATTTTCTTCCCGAAGGGGAGCAGTGAGAAGAAGCCGGATCTGAAGTGGCTGTTCATGGCGACATAGATGATGGGGTTCCAGATGCAGGAACTTTTGGCCACTAGAGCCGGGATGGTTTCGATGAGACGGGACATTTGTGGTCGTGTGCCGAACGCTATGGTGAAACTGACGACAGCGTAGGGGGTCCAGGAGAAGACGAATAACGCTGGGGATAGAGTGTGGAAATAGAAGAGTAGAGTATAACTAGCGTATTACACGAGTATGACAATTGTATGCAATGAGTACGAAATGAGTTGGAAAAGAGTATAACAAGCGTATTACATGAGTATGACAATTGTACTAAATGAGTACGAAATAAGTAGGAAAAGAGTATAAAAGAAGTATGAAAAAAGTTCGACAATAGTATGAAATGAGTATGAAAAGAGTATGATAAGAGTATGAAAGAAGTACGACTAGAGTTTGATAATATATGACATTAATATGAAAAGAGTATCAGTTTCTTTTTTAGAAAAAGTTATTCAAGCTTAGGGGAAAATTGAAAATACAGTCCATCAATGCTTAATAATGCACATTATTTTAAAATATTTTTTGTTAATTTATTTTTAAATTCTTAAGATGAAGTTCAAAATTTATTTACAAATTTTAACAGAGATTATTGTGTAGAAAGTAATTTATTTGTATGTCTGTATGGTATATTGTAAAACTGTTTTGAAAGTTTTAAGTTATTGCTAAAAGTTTGAACGTAACATCAAAGTGATTAATTATGTTGTTGTTAAATCCTCATCCTACCAATCATGACAACAATAGTTTTGATCATGTGACACTCCATCTTGTAATGTTTTTTGGCGTTCCGAATGAAAGTTCCACGGAATACTTTGCGTACCTGCAAGAAAAAGGTAACGTTCCATATAAAAAAAAAGGATTCCTGGGTACACAAATGATCGTATTCACATACACAGACAGACAGACACACACACAGACAGACAGACCGATAAAACTGGGTATTTCCGACTCAAGGAGGAGTACAACGTGGAGGTTCGTTAAAATCACGATTTCGATTTATTTGCACGATTACAATACTTTCTTTTCAAGCTTTTCCATAGTAATCAGTCTGGGTTTAGAAAGTTTCATTCTTGTCACACTGCTCTGATTAAGATGAATGAAAACTGGCTTATAAATATTAACAAAAACCTACTCTGTGGCTCGCTGTTTGTCGATTTCAGAAAAGCCTTTGATTCTATTGATCACACCATACTTCTTAAAAAACTAATTCCATACAAATTCCACGACTTTACAGTTAGGTTACTTCACTCCTTTTTATCTAACCGATCTCAACGCGTGTTTCACCTTAATACCATCTCTTCACAGAAATATGTTAATATAGGGGTTCCACAGGGCTCAATCTTAGGTCCTTTACTTTTTTCTTTATACATTAATGATCTTCCATTACATATTGACGCTGGTCAGTGCGAGATGTTCGCTGATGATACTTCTTTGCATGTCTTTGCAGACAGTGCTGAGTCACTCAGTTACAAACTTCAAACATGTGCCAATCAGCTTGCAACTTGGACAAAATTTAACAAAATGAAACTTCACCCCGATAAAACCAAGTCAATGTTTATTACAACTCATCAGAAACGCCTTCGTCTTCCATCCACCGCATTAAACATTACTATAGACAATTCAAACATTGAACAGGTAGACAGTTACAAATGCCTAGGATTGTTTATAGATCACAACCTCACTTGGTCTGACCATATTCATTTTCTAAGAATGTCCTTATTAAAGACAACCTTTCAGTTAGCAAGGATAAAGAACTTTCTCAACTATAGGAGCAGGCTGGTTTTTTTATGAGGCTTTTATTCAATCCAGGTTGGATTATGCTTCTGTAGTGTGGAGCGGCAGCTTTATATCTAAGCAGCGTCCTCTTCTTTCTTTACAAAAAAGGGCTATAAAACTGGTTACTGGCTTGTCTAGTAGTATGGATTCTTTTCTTACAACTAAAATACTTCCATTAAATAAAAAGATAATATATACTAAATCAATTTTCTTATATAAAATATTCCACGAAACAGCCCCCTCTTACTTATCAGATCTATTTTCTTTTAACATAAAATTAAATCGTCGTCTCAATTTACCATTCCCTTATTCAACCTTTTTCCAAAAACATAGCTTCGCCTACTCTGGTTCTAATTTGTGGAACAATCTTCCTAATAAAATAAAGCTATCTAGATCTGAAAATATATTCAAATCTAAATTAAAACTAAAATTATTTAATGACCTAACTGACTCATTGTAACATTTCTCATTCATCTATTATATTCTCTTTTTTATCTCATTATGTATGATAGCTATGTACCATTGTTTCTTTATTCCACATTTTCAGTGCTATGTGTTACTGCTATGTGTTATTGAATTGCTTTACTTGTTTAAACGGCCAATGTGAAAAAAGGCCTTTGTGCCTACAATTGTAACCGTTGTTTGAATAAATTTGAATTTGAATAAATTTGAATTTGTACTCTGTGTAAGAGAAAGTAAAAATTTCAAGTATCTGATAAATGACCGGAGGTATCTCTTGACTGTCGGGCGGTGGGGGGTGGGGGTACGTAAGGCCCAGGCGACTCATGAAACTATGTGCACTTACAGGTGACGCTCATTAGTAAGAAAAGTGGGGAAAAAATTAAATTTGTTTAAATAAATCGTTTTAAGTAGTTTCTACAATTGAATTAATGAAACCAAAAATTAACTTTTTAAGTAATATAACAGAGTCAATTACAAGTATTATAAAAGTACTTTACAAGTATTATAACAGAGTAATTTACAATTAGTAATTTATAATAGGAATATTGTCTCAAAACAGATTGAGAACTCCTGGGCTATACCATTAAGTTTCCATTTGTGGGTGTTGGGCTATTCCATTATGTTTCCATTTGTGGGTGTTGGGCTATACCATAATGTTTCCCGTAAGAGAGTAAGACATTTTTTTTAAACTCTTGTTGCAGTCCCTCTTTTAGAAAAAAATTCTTTATTTATTACGTCACATGTTCTATTCCAGTTTCTCAAGGGTGCTACATTTAATCAGACAATTCCTAAAGGAGGAAAAATAATTTGGGAAGCCCTGATCTAAAATTTATGAGGGTAAAAAAACATATCGGTCCTAATTATAAGCTACATGCCACCAAAAGTAAGTTCTTTTTTTGCATTGGACAATCTCTAGGGCAGAGGAAGCAGAGTTCGTTTGTGTGTGTGTGTACATGTGTGTATGTGTGTGTGTGTGTGTGTGTGTGAAAACGGTGTGAAAAAATGGGAAAGTGTGTTTCGTTGCCTGGCAATCAGGTTAAAGTCAATCCTGGAGGGATGAGTTCAAGTACGGGATCCTAACGCAAGACTTTCGGGTTAGTAGTTGAGGTCACTATTTTCCGACCACACCGTCACACACTTGCAGTAAAAATGGAACTGATTATCAGCCCCACGTTCAGCAAGATCTACAATAAACGCAATCCAATCAATCCCCCATATACCACAAGACTCACACGGAGTTTTTTGCATGCATCACTTTGGGGGGGGGGGGGGGGGGGTGGGGCTCCGAAGAAAGTCTACCGCCCCCCCCCCCCCCCCCACCGAACGAAATGGAATTTATATAGAAAATATATACTTTTAACTGTGTCCGTACCCCCACCCCTCGACATTTTTAGCCCCCCCCCCCCGAAAATTTTAAGTGCCCCCCCCCCCTCCGGAGATGAAAGTCTGGTAGAAACACTGCACACAAACACACTAACATCCCCCCATATACCACATGACTTACAGCAAACACGATCCTAGCATAGCAGAATCCCATGATGATCAGGGGCAGTAGAAAGCAACCGATAAACAAAGCGATGATGAAGCTGAGAAAGTTGGTGTCTTTCCTGTTCCATGTCACACTGCAGGCCACGCCTGTAAGGATCACGTCAAGGGTTAAAATATGTAATAGTTTAGCATGTAAAGATCACGTCAAGAGTTAAAATATGTAAGTTTAGCATGTAAAGATCACGTCAAGAGTTAAAATATGTAACTGTGAACCACGTAAAGATGACTCGAACAGGTCAAAATCTGTAAGTGGCCATCCATAAATGACGTCACGCTTTTTTGGACGGTTTTTACCTCCCCCCTTCCCCTCCGTCACACGTCGTCACAAAAAGCCAGACCCCCACCCCCTTAAAATAACTACAACCTACAACCTACAACCCCCTTCAAAATTGCAGATGAATTTTTTTTAAACATCGATATTTTTCCAAAATCTTGTCTTAACTCTGTCAAAATAGAGTCCTTTAATCAATCCCTATTACAATTTATTAAAGTAGTTTTCTAAAATGGCTAAAATTCTTTTTCTAACATTGCTTTTTTATAATGCAAACGTGTGACGTCACACCATCTAACCCCCCCCCCCCCCCACCCCTCCTCGTCACACACCGTAACAAAATTACGTACTCCCCTCCCTCCTACAAGTGTGACGTCATTTATGGACGACCCCTAATTGTTTAGCACCTAAAGATCACGTGATGAGTAAAAATACTCAACGTGTACTCAACTTCTCAACGTGTGAAATTCACGTAAAGAAAAATGAAAATCTGCAACTGTTTAAATAAAACATGATTGAAACATTTCTGTGGTAATTCATTGTCACACTTGCAATAAATTTTCAAAATTTTCATTCATTTTTTTTAATTGATTGAAGGCAGCTAATTATTGGTTGTGTTGTTAGCATAAAAAATACATTCTGTGTCATGGTAACATGGGAATTTTCATCCAAACATTCTTGTTATCAATCTTTAGTTTTTATCTTTGAATGTTTTAATTTAAATCAAACTGGGAAAAAAAAACGATGACATCTTTAAATATTTGACAGTGATTTATTTGATTAAATGGGTACAACAGACATAAGGCTAGGATAGGTTAGGTTAGGTTAGGTTGGTGAGGTTGGGTTGGGTTGGGTTGAGTTAGGTTGGGTTGGGTTGGGTTGGGTTGAGTTGAGTTGGGTTGGGTTAGATTGGGTTGGGTTGGGTTGAGTTAGGTTGGGTTGGGTTGGGCTAGGTTAGCCTGTCGCACCTCCTGGGACATAGGCCGCTGACAAGAGCGTTAAAATATTAGATGCCTCTTTTCCTTACACAGATGTGACTCTTACCTAAGCCATCTACTCCCCGCGTAAACGTAAGTTACTTTGCCCACACACATATTACACGTATAATACCCACCTACGACATAACACACATATTATACGTCGAATTCTTACCTATGCCCTCACTCACCTAAATATATTACATCTGTAATACTCATCTTTACCCTTACGCACATATTACACATGTAATTATCACCTATGACCACACACACACATATATTACACATGTAATTCTAACCTACGGCCACACACATATTACACATGTAATGCTTACATATCACTACACACATATTACACATGTAATGCTCACCTATGATCACACATTTTACTCATGTAATGCTTACGTATGATCACACCACACATATTACACATGTAATGCTTACATATGACCACACACATATTACACATGTAATGTTCACCTATGACCACCCACATATTACACATGTAATGCTCACCTATGACCACACACACACATATTACACATGTAATGCTCACCTATGACCACACACACATATATTACACATGTAATGCTCACCTATGACCACACACATATTACACATGTAATACTCCCTATACCCTCAAACACATATATTACATCTATAATTCTCACCTATAATCACACACATATTACACATGTAACGCTTACCTATGACCACACACATATTACACATGTAATGCTTACCTATGACCACACACATATTACACATGTAATGCTTACATATGACCACACATATTACACATATAATGCTTACATATGACCACACATATTACACATGTAATGCTTACATATGACCACACATATTACACATGTAATGCTTACATATGACCACACATATTACACATGTAATGCTTACATATGACCACACATATTACACATGTAATGCTTACCTATGACCACACACACACATATTACACATGTAATACTCACCTATACCCTCAAACACATATATTACATCTATAATTCTCACCTATAATCACACACATATTACACATGTAACGCTTACCTATGACCACACACATATTACACATGTAATGCTTACCTATGACCACACACATATTACACATGTAATGCTTACCTATGACCACACACACACATATTACACATGTAATACTCACCTATACCCTCAAACACATATATTACATCTATAATTCTCACCTATAATCACACACATATTACACATGTAACGCTTACCTATGACCACACACATATTACACATGTAACGCTTACCTATGACCACACACATATTACACATGTAACGCTTACCTATGACCACACACATATTACACATGTAATGCTCACCTATGACCACACACATATTACACATGTAATGCTTACATATCACCACACACATTACACATGTAATGCTCACCTATCCCCTCCAGTGAGTACTGGTTCCATCCCACCAACGGCAGTGTCGCCCAGATAAAGCCAGCACAGAAGCAGAGGACAATAGCAAGATTGGCAGCTCTCTGGGGAAAAACATACGCAATCAGGTTACCATGACAACATATGCAAAATCAGGTCGCCATGACGACGTATGCAAAATCAGGTCGCCATGACGACATATATGAAATAAGGTCACCACGAGAAATCAGGTTACCATGGCGACACATGTGAAATAAGGTCACCACGAGGAAATATGTGTAATCAGGTTACCGAGCCGTTTTGTTGCCAGCTTATTTTCTCTTTCTGCGAGATCTAAAATAAAGGGGGGGGGGGGGGGGCTGAGAGCATTAGCACCAATTTGCCCATTGTTACATCACTTGTCGGATGGTTTGTCAGACACAGAAATACAATTTGTTGGACAGCCACATACACAGGAATGCAATCTGTTGGACAGGCACACATATCAAATACATCTTGGGATGTCGCCCATGTAATTATTACATGCCGTTATGTCGCACCAATAAATTCAGCGTTTTGCGACATCGCTATGATGAATAAAGCTTGTTCAAATATCTTTCTCTCTCTTCCGCCAAGCCTTGTTCCATATCAACCCCCCCCCCCCTCCCATCCTAAAAGATTAGAACAATGTGTTTGTTATATCGAACCTCGTTTGATTCACCGCCAAGTTTTACCCTATGCCATTCCCAAATTCTGCCCTATGCCGTTAACCCGAAAAGTGCGCACTTTACATACCAGATAAACACAGCCACATACAAAACTCACAACACCGATCAGAAGTAAATGTGATCAATTCTGGAATATGACGCCATGATCTTTTAAAAATTTGATCACGTGACCGTTTCAAGACTAGAATGAAAACCCGCTTCTTTCTCTTCTTCAATTCAAAAAGTCTGAACCTTCAGAAAAAAAATATTTTTGGATTTTTTGTTTTTTTTTTTGTTTTCCCGCGAAAATTGCTAGCCAAGATCCGTTTCACGTCCTGGTTGTTCTATTTGATTTACATCTTCTGCTCGGCACATTTTAACGATGGGGTGCCGGGTCCTCGAATGATGGAATACAAGAGTAATGTTTTTTTTCAGCTGTTGGGGTTAATAGCTGATGCACGGATTGTGGGGTTAACATAGTAACACTGGCCTTAGTCGTCTAGTTTGGCTTTATCTGATCCACACATATTAGTTTTTTAAAGTCTCTCTTTCATACGAGCTTATGAAATCAAATAGATTTATAGCCAGTTTGAAAGTGTAAACTCTGTGATCTAAACATAATGTTTGTGACTTCAGTAATTTTAGCTCTTTTCTCTGAAGTTGTATTTAAAAGCGAAACAACACTGGTAAAAAATGTCATTACACAGGTCTCTGAGTACAGGTTATTTGATGACCTACCTGTAATATAGCTACAAACACAGAAGATGACCTACCTGTAATATAGCTACAAACACAGAAGATGACCTACCTGTGAAATGACCAGAGACGCGATAGGTTTGACGATGATGAAGTACCTGTCCACAGAGATGGCGGTCAGCAGGTAGATGGACGTGCAGGCGAGGAAGTAGACTGGGGGAGGATGTAAAACATGAGTCTGTGTGTGTGTGTGTGGGGGGGGGGGAGGGTTGTGGGGGGGGGGGGGGTAGATGGACGTGCAGGCGAGGAAGTAGACTGGGGGAGGATGTAAAACATGAGTCAGTTGGTGGGTGGGTGGGGGGAGGGGTGTGGGGGGGGGGGGGGGGTAGATGGACGTGCAGGAGAGGAAGTAGACTGGGGGAGGATATAAAACATGAGTCAGTTTGTTGGTGGGGAGCGAGAGGTGGGTGCTGGGGGGGGGGGGGTTTATATGGACATGCAGGAGAGGAAGTAGACTGGGGGAGGATGTAAAACATATCAATTTGTGGGTGGGTGGGTGGGTGGGTGGGGGAGCGATGGGGGCTGGGGGGGTGGCAGCAGACACAGAAAAACGCAGGCTGCTTTCACTCTTTCAGTTCGAATTTTAGTTTATTTGTCCTATTTCCCAACTGAGAGAGGTTATACACTACGAGCCGACCCGCGGTGTATCAAACGCCGCTATTTTGTTGTTTTTTCTACTTTTCAGTAATTCATAATTTGTGAATTCGACAGTACCAACGCTGCCATTGAAAATATTTGCTTTAAAACACTAAACCCCCACTCCCCCCCCCCCCCCCGTAAAAGCAGCCTCCTCTTAGTTACCTCCTCTAAGTTTAAAATCGTTTCAAACTGAATTATCTGCCCCTAATAGCCGTCACCAAACCCGGTTCTACGATTGTTTTGTAAACATTTAGCGTGAACTACAACTCACCTGACCATGTGAGGGGGGTGGGGGTGGGTGGGGGGTGGTAGCGATAGAGAGGAAGAGAGGGGACTGCAAGGCGCGCGCTTGCAGCTTGTTTTCTAACGTCTCCCAGAAGAGAATTATATATATAGATAGCAGGTCACTAAGTACCAATAAGGATTTTTTTTTACATCGAATAAGTAAAGAGAAAAAAAAGGAAACAGAAAAAAACTCATAAAAAACTTTAGTCAAATGTAAGTAGAAAAAAAGAAAATATCAAAACTGAATTATTGACTCAAGCCTTGAGGGACTTGTGTGTATGTGGTGTACAAGTTACATGCATATTAAATTAGATGGCATTTATTTCAGCACGTATTTTATTCGATAAAAGTTCAAGAAAGGTGAAATCGGTACACATTATACAATTTTAAAGGGTCAGTGGGGAATAGCGACCAACAGAGGATGCATTTTATTTCAATAAAATCAATTTGAATATAAAGTAGGTGAAGGGGAGGGGGGGGGGGGGGGCAAAGCTTAGCTATCAAGGCCAGTAGAATCAAGATTCCAGGAGCTTAGCAAGGCTCGATCTAATGTAACACGTGACCTTGTAGCTTTGAGGCTTTAAGCGATGGGAATCTTAACACGGATGGATATAAATCTAATACAACAGACGGATATATATCTAATACAACAGATGGATATACATCTGATACGATGGATCTGTATAATCTAATTAAGATCAAAGGCAGAACATGGCAGATAATGGACATCTTAACAGTGTCAATGGCATAAATAGTATAAGATAGGTATGAATCTTAACAGTTAAGGGCAGAAAAGGGCCGATGGTGTATACAAAACTTACAGTGAAAACTACAAGGGCAGAAAGGGCAGATGTTGGACTTGAATCTTATCACTGTCGGGGGCAGAACAGGGCAGACGGTGTATACAAATCTTACCAGTGAAAACTACAAGAGCAGAAAGGGCAGATGTTGGACTTGAATCTTATCACTGTCGGGGGCAGAACAGGGCAGATGTTTATACAAAACTTACCAGTGAAAGCATCAAGGGCACACAGGGCAGAAGACTTGATGTAGGTCTCCAGCAGGGCGTAGTAGGCAGGTATCGGGGCGCCGATGATGCTCATGAGAACATCACAGACACACAAGGCAGCGATGAAGCTGTTGGTGGGCGATCTCAACTCACGGTACCTGAGATGTGGTCAGTTGGTCAGTTGGTCAGTTGGTCAGTTGGTAAGTTGGCCAGTTGGTTAGTTGGTCAGTTGGTCAGTTGGTCTGTGTGTAAGTTGGTAAGTTGGTATGTTGGTCATTTGTTCAATTGGTCAGTTGGTCAGTTGGTGCTTGGTTTAGTCTGAGTTTCTCCCAGGCATCTCTTCGAGGAAGGCGGGGGCAAACCCTCCCCCCATCTCCGAAGAAACTATATCCGCCCCCCCCCCCCACCCCGAACAAAATAAATTTTGTATAGAAAACATATACTTTTACCAGTGCCCCCCCCGGAAAATTTAGTAAGACCCCCCCCCCCCCCCCACCGAGAAAAAAGTCTGGAAGAAACACTGGTTTAAGTAAGCAGCATGATTTTAAAATACACTGTGTCCCAGTTAAGTTTAGATGGTTTAAAGTACTGTGCTCAGTTTTTACTTAAAATACAGTGGGTTCAAGTGTAAACAGTTTTGGTCAAATTACCAAGAAGAAAAGAACATGAAACTTGACTTTGATTATAAAATATTACCACACCATACGTAACGGCCTATTCTAATTTTGGACGGACTTGGGTTTCATTACGTGTTTCGAAATATAACAAAGTATTATAAAATGACTGTCTAGTGTCGAAAATTAATGACGTATGCAGGGAGCTTTTAAAGGACCGCATAAATGAAACTTTATTAAATAAAGAAAACATGTGTCACTATTTTATCTATTTTCTGAATAGCTTTGCTTAAAATTAAAAAGCGAACCACGCTTTTCTTTACAGTTATTTAAATAGGAGTGAGTTATTATAGATTTAATAAAGAAAATAATTTATTTTCTACTTTTTAGTGCATAATTATGTAAAAGCTTTTTAAAATACGTTATCTAAATTATTTTTTGGTGTAAAACTCACTTAATTTTTTAATAACATAAGTGATCTATATATTATTTTCAACGCATTTGAAAACGTTATTATTAGTTTAAGTTCTAGAAGGCACAAAATGGGCCATGAAAGTGAGTAACAATTAACAATGCGTTATTTGCTGACTGTGCGTGACCTTGAACTAAAAGTTCAGACCTGATTGTCAGGAGCAATTATATCAGACGACGTAGTGCTTCCAACGAACAATGGATGAGTATTGGCTGGGGACTGTTCGTTAATGAAAACACAGTACCGGTATATTCGTGTGAACCTAGCGTGATTCTAGTGTGACTCTAGTGTGACCCTAGCGTGATTCTAGTGTGACTCTAGTGTGATCCTAGTGTGATACTAGTGTGACCCTAGTTTGAGTCTAGTGTGACCCTAGTGTGATACTAGTGTGACCCTAGTGTGATTCTAGTATGACCTAGAGTGAGTCTAGTGTAAGTCTAGTGTAAGTCTAGTGTGACCCTAGTGTGACCCTAGTGTGACCCTAGTGTGACCCTATTGTGACCCTAGAGAGAGTCTAGTGTGACCCTAGTGTGACCCTAGTGTGACCCTAGAGAGAGTCTAGTGTGACCCTAGTGTGACCCTAAGCAGACGACTACGGTAAACTTCGTTAGTTAATTTTGCTCAGTCTCGTTTTGAACTTGGTCGTGAGAACATAAAAGTTCTAAAACCCGAAACCAAACAGTTCTAGAATACACACACACAAGTTCTAGAACCCACCAAACAGTTTTAGAACCCGATACAAAACTGTTCTAAAACACACCAAACTGTTCTAGAACTGACCACAATGTTCTATAACCTGACACCCAATTGTTCTAGAACCTGACACCCAACTGATCTAGATCTCACCACGAAGTTCTAGAACCCGACAGCAAACAGTCCTATAACACACCAAACTGTTTAGATCTGACCACGAAGTTCTACAACCTGACACCCAACAGTTCTACAACCTGACACCCAACAGTTCTAGAACCTGACATCCAACAGTTCTAGAACCTGACACCCCACAGTTCTAGAACCTGCCATCCAACAGCCCAATGTGCCAACAGCCGATACTCTATTGATTCCCACGCTTCTGGCCGCCGAGGAATTACGCGCTTGATTCTCCTCTTTTATTCATTGTCTCGTGATCTCACACGAAATCTCGCGAGAGCCCTCCCCTCTCCCCCCTAGACCCCCCACCCCCCTCCTTTGACTTCCTTTACATTAGGATAAAAATAGAAAGATCTCGCAAGGAAATCCATAAAAAATTAATCTTGCCCAGCTTCTCTACGCATTGAATCCCCCTCCCTCCCCCTGTATCCTTGTAGACATGTCCCAGCCGTTAGGACCTTTTTCCTTGATGTCCTCTGATTGTCCTAAAATAGAAAAACAACACTCAGTTCTAGTCAGACTTTCGAATATAGAAACAGCCTGCGGGCTATTCGGAGACCAGTTCGCTGTTTGAGAAAATTGGCTTTCATATATCCCGGGCAAAACGGTGTCAAGCTGTGTCTATTCACCGGCTGTGTTGAACGATCGGGTTTTCCCACTTTAGCATTAGCAACAAGTGACCGGGGTTTCAGATTTTAAAATTAAACCAAAACAAAATTAAAGTCTCACTATATCTCTAGAGCCGGAATAGTTTTTCCTTTTTTAACATAACTGCTATAAATAGCCATACGCTTTTATTTTCGGTTCTTTTTTTTTTTGTCTAAAATTCATAAAAGGTGTATAATTTAAAAACTATTATTAAAAAATAATTTAAAAGAAAACAACCCGAAAATATAAACACAGAAGATTATGATTTGACCTAATTTGACTCAAGTCTTAATAGACGAAAGTTTACTTCTGGTACAAATAGGCTACCTGAATGATTACTTTTGGAATATGACTACCTTGATGAGTTGTATTTGATTTTCTTACTCTTATTGAAATTCATGACAATGACAACTGTAAACATGTCAAAAGAAGGGGAAAAAAGACAAAACCTCAACGGGTTAAATTTAGACGTTAAAGTTTCGTCACAATGATTCTATTCCAAGAAAATCAGTAGCTGGGTATAAAGTTATTGTACATTGCCATTATATACTGATTTCTTATGTTTTGTGCATTCAGGTAAAAGTAGAACGCAATTCTAAAAGTTTTAAGATAGAAATAAATGAATAAATAAAGGAATAAATAAATGAATGAATAAATAAATGAATAAATAAATGAATAAATAAATGAATAAATAAATGAATAAATAAATGAATAAATAAATGAATAAATAAATGAATAAATAAATGAATAAATGAATGAATGAATGAATAAATAAATGAATAAAATGAATAAATAAATGAATAAATAAATGAATAAATAAATGAATAAATAAATGAATAAATAAATGAATAAATAAATGAATAAATAAATGAATAAATAAATGAATAAATAAATGAATGAATGAATAAATAAATGAATAAATAAATGGATGAATAAATGAATGAATGAATAATAAATGAATTATCAAATGAATAAATAAATAAATAAAAGAATAAATATTTATTGACTAACTACCCACCTGATGAAGACAGCAATGGCGAGCCCATTAAACAGGGTCCCAACAGCCGTGACCCCAAGAAGGGTGACCCCAACTATGATGTAATCCAATCGACTAACTCCTTGAGTATAGTCCAGGTCAACATAACTGTCCAGAGCAGGTGCAGTAGAGGTTATCGAAGTAGTATTGACGGTGGTCATAATCCCCAGGTTCCAGAGATATAGCGTTAACCTGTTCCAGGTATACAGCCCTAATATGTTACCTTTGGTGGGTGTTGTTTCTTCTTACCTGGGTATAGAGCATTGTCGTGCTCTGATGGAGGTGTGTGTTGGTGCTGGTGTACTGTTGTTGGGGTATGTTGGTTTTTTGTTGCTGATGTGTGTTGGTTTTGTGTTGGTATGGTGTGTTGGTGTTAGTGTTCTGTTGATGATGTGTGTGGCTATTCGTGTTGGTGGGCTGTTGCTGATGTGTGTTGGTGTTCTGTTGCTGGTGTATGTTGCTGCTGATGTTATGTAGTTGGGGTGAGATGTTGGTGGTGGTCAGTTGCTGTTGGTGTTGGTGGGCTGTTGCTGGCGTGCGCTGGTGTTCTGTTGCTGATGGTCAGTTACTGGAGTATGTTGTTGCTGATGTTCTGTAGTTTGGGTGTGATGGTGTTGGTGTTGGTGGTCAGTTGCTGGTGTATGTTAGTGTTCTGTTGATGGCGTATGTTGTTGCTGATGTTGTGTTGTTGTGATGGTGTTGGTGTTGGTGTTGGTGGTCAGTTGCTGGTGTATTGGTGGTCTATTGATGGTGTGTTTGGCATGTGTTGGTGTGTCAACATTGTTAATGTCATTGGTGTTGTAAAATTTATATTGATGTCGGTCGCTGCTTCTGGGAAAAATTGGTTGTTATTATGCCTGTGGTCTATTGATGATGTGCTTGGCATGTGTTGGTGTGTGTTAATATTGTTAATGTCATTGCCTGCTTCAACGAATCTCTGGCTGTTATTATACCTTGTGGTCTATTGATGATGTGGGCTAGTGGTTAGTTGATATTATAGGTCAGTGGTCAGTTGTTGACAGGCTGTTCTGTCAAGTCTTCAGCCAGCGCCTACACAGTTCACTCACAGCCAGCAGTACAAAAAACGTGGGCTGTAAGTGTAGGGGAGGCAGGCGGTGGGGGCTGAATGTAATTATTCTCTATTCGCCTCCAGCCATCTCTATGGCTCTCACTTCTGCTGGGGTTCTCAAAACATCCAGGGTCAGTCTCAAGAACTTTCTAGAACTCTTCGTCTTTCAATAGCATGTCTTTGGGTACACAATTTAGTAGTTGTAGAACTCTGATGTTTAGATCTTCTAAGATGTGTCTAAATAAAGCTGGTACTTTTACTAGGATAATTCTACTCGGATGTCTTGATCTTTGAGCTGCACAAAGGAAATGAAATACACAAAACATTTAGCGATTAGAAGTGTTTAAAACATTGTAAATAAAATACTTTCAAACATACATACTAAAAACTACTGGTTAACGTGTAGTAAAGCTGATTGTGTGATGTTAGCAAAAGAATCTTGTCTTTGTCGATATTTTACCAATATATGGGGGAGGGAGGCTAAGAACTGAGGCAGTAGCAAGTTTGGCAAATATTAAATTAACTTGAGTTGTATAATACGAATCAACGGCTAGGAACAGAGGCTTATCAAAGGTTATGCAAACAGTAGATAAACCTTAGTTGTATAATAGGATCAAAGACTGAGAACAGAGGCTAGGCAAAGATTAGGCAATCAGTAAATTAACCCGAGTTGTATAACATAATCAAAGGCTGAGAACAGAGACCGTTAAAAATTTGTCACTCAGTAAATTAACCTGATTACTTAAAGCTCTTACTTTTTTTTTAAAGAATGCTGTAACAGAGAGGCCAAAAATAAACTGTACGGGCATCAACTAAACGCCTGCCGATTCCAAATTTTCAGTGAAGAGGTGAAAATAATATGAACTGTTTTAGGGGTTAGAGCGAGTGGGTTCCTAAGTCGAGACATTATAAGATCGAGCGGGTTCAATGTCAGGACAAAATTATGGCCAGTAAGTTCGTAAGTCGGGGCACACACAAAAAAACAGTTTTTTTTTTAAAATCATTTAACCGTATCAGAGCATATTGAAAATACTACGAATTCATTGGAATTACTGTTCTACCCCTCCTGTATTATGTTTATCGGGTGCGTGTGTGGGGGGGGGGGGGGGGATGGAACAGAACTGAGACAAAAAGATTATGTAGGGATTCTTAACATGGTATTAGAGAAGGGTTATAGGAAGATGTTTGGAATTAGAAAACACCGATTCTCATAAAGAAACAAAGCTTCGATATAAAACAGTATTACCATCTTTTATCTACAAGATTTTCTTTTAGCTTGCATAGTAAAACTGGATTTTCTTCGTAAAATCCTTATAAAATATTAACTTTAGCATGCCATTTGTTGCGATGTAAGGTTTTTACTTACAAAATTTAAACCAAAAGTATTTAACTTCAATATTTTTTTCATTGACAAGCATTATAAAACATAATCACCCAACGGGGACCAAGGCTTTCATTTATAATTCTATAAGTCTTTGTGTACTGTTATAACTACAGAAGTGTATAAACAAAAGCTTGTTTTATAAAAGCTTTTTAATGTTTTTTATTGATTGTGTGGCTCATATTCCTGTTACCTTGGTATTATTTTTTTATTTTAAATTCAATTCTTGCAACAATCACTGTTCGCACTACGTATTATATGAGTTAAGTTGATAAAAAGAAAGTCAATTTTTATACCCTTCAAGATGACTAAAAAAATCAGGGAGTAAGATAGGTCGAGTTATTTATAGCACAGTAACTCTATACATTCGTCACTACTTTTTTACCGGGGTTATTCTGAGTTATATTTATCAAGCCAATCGCCTGTCAGTTTTTTTTTCTCTAATACAAAAATAATTTTACGTATCTCAAAATAATAACAGGTTGAAACAGAGGCGTAGCGACCCTTCCCGTCGCCCTAGGACAAACTTTCGATTTGCACCCCCACCCTCAAACTTTCGACTTGCACCCCCCTCAAACTTTCAATTTGTTTTTCCAACCCATTTTGGCGCCCCCTAAGGTCGGCGCCCGGGGATATATGCACCCCCCCCCCCCTCGCTACGCGTCTGGATTGAAATCTTAAAGCAAATTTATACGTTTTTTTTAGAGCGCAGTTAGTATTAATTTAATAAGCTGGTTAACTATATTTGAAGCGTTTATCTGGTAAAAAAAATATGTTTACGCACCTCTAACTAATAACAGATTGAAATTTTCAAGCCAAGTAATTACAAATTTAATTAGGGCGAAGTTGTTAAATTAATAAGCTGTTAACGATATTTAATGTGCTTGTTTTTATCTGGTAAAAAATATGTTTACATACCTCTAAATAAAATAACAAGCAAAGCTATCAGTTTATTTGGAACGAAGTTATTACTTTAATAAGCTAGTTAACGATATTTAAAAAAAAAAGATGATCCGGGTTCATGACCTCTTTTTGCTGAAAGCTTTATGGGATTATTTTCTTATTTCTAATTTACAGTCTGGTACCTGCTAGACAGATTAATAATTTTTTAAAGCCGGGCTGAGACAGGCTTATCGTATAGTCTAACTAAAACACCTTCAAAGACAGCCTTACCTAAGCTTTGGTAATTTCATTTTTCGCACCTTTGAAAACCTCCCTCACATCCTGTCTGGGACGTCAGTGTTGAGTTATGTTAGTGTGTGTGTGTGTTTGGGGGGGGGGGTGTTTTTGTGGTGTTATCGGTACTCTAAGTTATCTTTCCCTGGCGGAGTTTTTTTTTTATCTCCCGTGGTAACATGGAGACGGATAAGAAGAATGGGAATTCGTTGATAAATGGAGAGATGGCAAGCTGTCAATTTGTGTGCTGCAGGTGGGGTAGGGGTAGGGGGGGTAGTTTTGTGTGAGGGGGGAAGGAATGATCAGAATGGGGTAGTGTTGTGTGAACGGAAGGGAATGAACAGACATCCAAAACAATTCATATTATTTGCTTACTTCTTAGTTTTTTGAAACATTCACGTTTATCTAAGCTCCAACCTTTGCTTTTATTTCCAATTTTAGTAAAGTAATAAAACGGGAGTGATCTCACTTAAACTTTCTCGCCTATTCTTGTATAACGGTTGGGATGGCACCAACAGTAGATATTGGGCTGTAGATATAGTCGCTAAGTTTGTGACAAAACTGTTTGTCTTTCTAAAAAATGGATAAAGTTTTTAGAGTTCCCTACTTCATAAGAATATGAGAAATCATTAAACTATGAAGGATTTTGAGAAATCGGACGTAATCAATAAAAATAAAACATAGGTTATCAGAATCAATAACAACGAGGTCCTGCCCATACAGCTAAATTGATAAGATATACGAGAAACACATTCACCTATCCTGGAAGTGTGATCAATAAGGACGGGGGAGCAGACGAGGACACAAAAAGCCGTATCAACAGTGCCAGATGTACCTTCAATTCACTGCGCCAAATAGGGAATTGCACAGTCTTGTACTCCAGAGCAAGATAAGAATCTTCAACACACTGGTTACAGCAGTATTATTTTATGGCTCGGAGACCTGGAGGGTTACCAAGGCAAATACAGACAGGCTGCAGTCGTTCACAAACAGATATTTACGACAGATCCTTAAGATTAGATGTCTAGACAAAATGTCAAACAAAGACCTGAAGTAAGACACAAAGCAACAGCTAATTGACAGGAACATTAAGGCCTGTAAATGGGGGTGGATAGGGCAGGCCCTGAGGAGGTAAGAGGACAACACCGAGAGGCAGGCGTCAGACGGGAATCCCCGGGGATAGGGGACAACATAGAGAGGCAAGCGTCAGACGGGAATCCCCGGGGGTAGAGGAAAGTGGGCCGGACAAAGAAATCCTGGAGAAGGACAGTAGAAGGAGAAGCAAGGGCTGCTGGGCTTATGTGGGCTCAAAATCCAGAGCCGCCCTAGCCATGTCCTGTTGAGAGGTGGAACTACAGCCCTTTGCTCCTCAGGAGAGTTGTAAGTAAAAGTAAAGTTCCCTTTTCAAACCTGACGGTCTATAGGGCAAGTGAAGTAGTGTTCACTTGTTTCTGTGACCTCGGCATATGAAGAGATAGTGTGGTCAGCACTATGCCCAGCTGCCTTCAGTGTTTCTTCCAACCTTTTTTCTTCGG